ATTCCTGCTTCAATTCGCGCCAAGGTAAAATAGGAATAAAAGCTCTGTCAACTTTCTCTATTTTTGAGTTAGTTACAGTAAATTATATGAGAAGCATTTCAACTTAATTCATATGCATATTCTAGAAACACTTGGGTTGTTGGTTTTTGTTAAATGGATAAGTAAATTAATGTGTAACAGCTGCAAGACTAATAGGTTAATGTAAAATTTGTTGTTCATTACTATCTACACATGCATGCACATGAACACACACAAGCGGCCGGCCACACACCCAGAGGAACCTTGGTAGTTTTTATTAAAGGAGATACCTCATGTCCATTCCTCTTTAAAGGTTCAGAAACTTTTTTCCTTCATTCCAATCTGTATGCATTATTCAGACTGTTGTACATCATGGGATTTTAGTTGAGTGTATGTTTTAAAAAAGACTTGTGTATCCTCAAAATGAGTTGTTTCTTCGTTGCAGATTTCACACACTTTATATTTCCCGTACATTGAAAGTGTTCCTCTCTTCAAGGGATGCTCGGCAGAATTCATCAATCAGATTGTAAGTAAATTTTTCCATTTGCACAAATAGATGACAAAGCATGTTCGCGTGAAACACTGATAGTTGGATCTTGCTCCAAATGTACAATGCCAATTTGTTTATACGCTTCATTGGCTGCTAATGTGTTATCATAGACAGTAACAAACATGTAGGATTGGTTCTTCTTGTACCCTAGGAAACATTCAACAAATTGTTGTACTTTGTTGCATGGAAATTTTTTGATCTTTCACCTTCTCTGAAAAACAATACATGGGATGGGATATAAGGGTTTACTGTCTTGCGCATGAGAAGAAAGCCACCTTAAAGCAGCTATTTGTATGCATGGTGCAGTTGTGTCTAACACTCGGTAGTTTCATGTGCAGCACCACATGTAATGTTAAATAGGATCTTCCTTGCTCCGTGGATATCCCTGCTTTGTGTGACTTAGTGAAATGGGTTATTCTTATTCTTTTCTTCTTTGCAGGTTATTAAACTCCATGAGGAATTTTTTCTCCCTGGAGAAGTGATAATGGAACCCGGAAACGTGGTAGATCAACTTTATTTCGTCTGTCATGGTTTGCTGGTATGATTCAATAATCTAGAGTCAGTGATCAAATTTGAAAACTAATTCAACCAATTCATACAAGTTTAAACCTGTATGCCGTTTGTCCTCCGAAATAAGTTTTGTCCTAGTTGTAACCTGTATGCTACTTGGTTTACAATTATATATTTCTAATTTTCTGCACAAATCAAGATATGTAGAAGCATCGGTGGCAATTATAATGTTAAGCTGGGTATTAGTGGTGAGTTTTTGGCTAGTGGTAAAGAGTGTTGACTGTCTAAAGGTCGAAGTAGTGTCACTTGGTAGTGACTGGTAGAACTAGCAATGATAGAGAGGGCTGCAGTTGTCGTGGTGTAGTGGTAGTGATGATGGCACAACACAAGTGTGGATGTTGGTAGGTGTAGTAATGGTGGTGGGTCACTGGCCATGGCGATGGTAGTTGTACAGACCAATTGGAGTTAACAACTGGTAGGTCATAGTGGTAGAGGTGTCATGCTATGCTGGTTTTGCTTCTTAGAAGGTTAAAAGGAGAGGTAATGGCCGGACTAACAATATTTCTAAGAAAAACCAGATTTTTAGTTTACTTTTTGCTAATGGAGAAAAACCAGATAATGAGAATTATCAACTTTATGTTGGTCAGCTTTTTAACTGATCTTGACCGCAAAATTGGTGCCATGAGAACTAGTTTTTTTGCATACTGACTGGTTAACAAAAAAATACAATTCATAATGGTTTGACGTTCCTCATACAATTCGTAAGTTACATGTCTATTTGCTGTCCCCTTCTAAAACAGACTTTTATGAACTCGCATCACATTGGTATGACCCTTCTGCTATGAGACTAACAAAAATATTCTTGTACAGGAGGTGGTAGGCATCGTGGAAGATGGAACAGAAGAAACTGTTTCACAATTGGAACCTAACAGCTCATTTGGAGAAATCTCCATTCTTTGCAACATTCCCCAACTTTATACAGTTAGGGTGCGTGAGTTATGTAGGCTTCTGCGACTAGATAAACAATCTTTTACAAGCATCCTTGACATATATTTTTATGATGGGAGGAAAATCTTGAACAACCTTCTAGAGGTAAGTTTTCTGTGGTAATTTATATTCTTTTTGTAATGTGCCTATAACTGTGTTACAATGTTTTGAATACATATTCCTCTTGTTTTTTCAAACAAACTTGATGTTAAATGATCAATGAGTGTCCATCATATGGCTGAAAATGTTACAGGGTGCACCTCGCATCAAACAACTAGAATCAGACATTACATTTCACATTGGAAAGCAAGAAGCTGAACTTGCTTTGAAGGTCAATAGTGCGGCTTATCATGGAGATCTGTTTCAGCTAAAAGGTTTGATCCGTGCTGGAGCTGATCCCAACAAGACAGATTATGATGGAAGGTCACCATTGGTATGAAATGTTATGAATTTTTTTAGATTTATCATTGTGAATGCATCTATGACTTATCTGGTGTGTGTGCGTTGTGAAAGTTTTTGCTAAAGAAAGGGCTTAGCCAACTTCAGGAGTTGACTATGGAATGCATTTAATGAAGTTTTAAGATGTGGCCCTTAAGTAATAAATGTAATACCGATGGTAAAAAGCTTCTTTGACAAGAAAAGAATTCGTAAAAAGACTTGAGACTAGTTTGATATTTTTTCTAAAGATGAGCAGAAGTGAGATAGATTTGTCTGAAAGGAGTCTTTCTTCTCTACAGCATCTTGCTGCATTAAGGGGACATGAAGATATTGCACTTTTCCTTATTCAGGAAGGCGTAGATATCAACATCAAAGGTAATTTTACGATACAAGAATCCAAATATGGTTTTATCTGTTACCCCAATCGTAGTACCACGCTATAATAAGTTGTTTATTTTTTCTAGACACTTTTGGGAACACACCCTTACTTGAAGCCATAAAAAATGGCAACGATCGAGTTTCTTCTTTACTTATTAAAGAAGGGGCCTCCTTGAAGATGGACAATGCTGGTAGTTTTATATGTACAGCCATTACCAAGGGGGACTCAGATTTCATTAAAAGGTTATTGTCAAATGGCATTGACCCGAACTCCAAAGATTATGATCACCGGACCCCACTTCATGTAGCTGCCTCGGAGGGATTATATATGATGGCAAAGTTGCTGTTAGAAGCTGGGGCTAGCGTTTTCTCAAAGGACAGGTTGAAAATTCATTTCCGTTTGTTGGATGCATACATATCTTGACCGTTTCTGTTTATAATGTTTCCTAGGTAGGGTCTATAGAGTATTAAATATAGTCAGACTTCAGTGGTTAGATCTAATTATCTGCATTTTGTAACAAGTTTTGTTTCATTTCCATGGCCGTCAACCTACATGCACCTCTTTTAGTGCCTAAACAATTACAAATGATCTTTTGAATTTTCGGATAAATCAGTATAGGGAAATCACTGTAAAATTTCCCCTGGATCTTAAAGCCGATTATCTGACCTTTATTAAGAGCCAGGTTTTTCTTTAGAAATGTTTTGGACTTACCTGTGTTTATTTTCATCTTCCAAAATTATGACAAGCACTGCAACACTCTAGTCTCTAGAACATGCATATTGAAACTTACACAGGACCAATGGTGTTTTCTCTTCACTTTTCTTGCTTCTATTTCCCTTGTCTGCAAGTCTCGAACTCATTAATGGAGTGCTTTGGTTTCTCAAGTAATAGAGCTTGGAGAACTAAACTTTACCTGCTCACCTTCCTGTCTAATTCCTGCTTTGATATTGTGATAGCTTCCATATATATATATATATATATACATATATTGTCCATTTTGTCAATGAGAAACTCACTGCCATAATGTAATTTCTCTTAGGCTGGTTCTCTAGTATTGTTTGACATGTTTTTGACACGTTTCTATCTTTCATTTCAATTGTTATATAGTAGCTTCTCTTCTTGCTGCAATAACACTATATGATTGTTTTCTCCCTACCCCCGGCAGATGGGGAAATACCCCACTAGATGAAGGTCAGATGTGTGGGAACAAGAATTTGATTAAACTGCTAGAAGAAGCAACGGCTACTCAGTTGACAGAATCTCCTTACCGTGCTCAAGAACTCGCAGGTATTGAGAAGAATCTGTTATAATTTTTTTGCCAGGTTATATATTCTTTGCTAAGATTGAATGGAACACCGGAATTAAATTTAATGACCTGTAGGCAGGTCAAACTGCCTAGTCAACAAGTTCTTTGATTCTTTGTTCCTCACCAGAGATTAGAGAGAACAAGAGCCAGAAAGAAAATTCTAACAACAAGAAGGTTTACACCAACCTTAAAATAGGAATGATTCCCACCAACTTCTCTTACTGGATCAAGCAATAGAAAGTCAAGTGTTATTTGTTAGAATTTAAGGTTAACGCCTTATCTTTCTAGTGTCGCTTCCTTCCTGCATTGAGTCCCAATCTGGAACGCACTTGGGCATGGATATGAGTTTCTTTGCCAAGACAGGCTAGGAAATCTTTCAAACAGTGTTTCCATTTGTACTGTGGAAAGGGATTTCATCATTGTTTTGCTACTGCTACTTTGTAACTTTGTAAGTTAATAACCAAATTTCTGTTGCAACGTGCAGATAAACTGCACCCAAAGAAATGCACTGTGTTTCCTTTCCATCCATGGGAAGGCAAAGAACAAAGAAGACCTGGAATTGTGTTATGGGTCCCTACTACCATTCAAGGGCTCATCAAAACAGCGACAGACCTACTAGAATTTTCAAGTGGTTCCTTTATAATATTATCAGAAGATGGAGGTAAAATTCTTGATGTAGACTTAATAAATGATGGTCAGAAGCTGTATTTAGTCAGTGATACACATTTGACATAAACATTTTGGCCTTATGTTATAATTTTAATATAGTCCTTGTGTGATTTTTGTATGCAAACGGGAATGTATCTCTCCATTTGTTGTACTTGGCGACTTTATATCAGTTTCAAGGTTTGTGAGATAAAGAGAAACCAAAGCATAACATTGTGAGAGCACACTATAATAGCAGTTGACAAGGTGAGAGACATGGACAACAATACTTTTGGTTGTATCTAGTTGGTTTTGATTGCAAGTTAAATGGATACCTCATATAGATTAGTACACAAATCATCATGTGGGCCCCAAAGGGTATTCTCAAATAAAATTATTTGAGAGATCTCTCAATAGAAAGGGAAGATATATATATATATATATAATATCGTCCCTTTGTAGAGTTTGATGCAAATTTTATTTAAATGATATGAACTGTCCATTATTTAAGACTTTATTTAAAAATAATCAAAAAAATTAGCAAAATCGAAAACCATGAAGAAATCTAGTTGTGATCAATAAAATTGATGAACCCGATGGTTTAAGAATGCACTAAAACTACAACCATCGATTGAGTGGTCAAATAATTTCAAATTCAAGTGATTTTTTGTAGAGATGATCTTTGAGATTTTAAAAATAGATGGTTTGGATTATGAAAATACAATATGAATGAGCCCGACAAGGGGATCCCTGCCTCAACTTAAGAGGGCAAATATGTGACATCATATTTTATACACAAATTTTAAATACAATTTTTAAGCCATTATATTACTCCGCTTTTAATGGATGAAATTAAATATGAAATTAAATATGACATTCTTATAATTTATATTCTAATAACAGATTGATGCTGGACATGCGACATCATTTTCAGCTAAATGACCACTGAAACCACCATGTAATTACGCAGCAAAAATGAATGACACATGGAAAGGCTAACAGGTGGCTAACATGCCGTCACCAATTGAAGCTCCGTATTGCAATTTGCATGGGGGTGACCTGTTATTACATTGCATTATTTCTTCAGTGTAATGGTCAACTAGAGTGGCTAGCTTGATCATCACGTTCGTTGAAATGTCCATCGACTTTTAAAAGCCACAACTGTCCTCCACTCCACTCTCCATTATAAATTACCCAATACACAACATAACAATCTCCAAATTGAGCTATTGTTTGATCCAAGTCCAGAAAACCAGAGCAAGCCATTTTTATTTTTAATCATAAGCTATGAACATCATCAGACAGGCTGCAATCATATGCTCATCTCTTCCCCTTGTGGGCTCTCTTGTTCATCTCTTTTTTTCTTCTATTTCAGACAAGCTTTCAATCTCCGGAGAAAACATGAAGAAAGGTGAGGATCAAAATTCTGTTGTTGCTTCTGATCCAAGTAATGTAACGGCCCAGATGCATTTCCGGCAACTTCAACACATAAGAACAGCTTGATCATAATGTTATTGAATGCCCATAAGGGTATGGTTTTTTTAGTATAGCCTTCTATATATTTAGGGGCAAACCTTTCCTCTGTCTTTTACTTTTCTTTTTTAGACACTTGAGAGCAACGTTTTATTCTCGGTAGCAGTGGGGCTAGATTATAATTTTTCATTTAAGAAATGATAACTTGTCACCGATTGCAAGAAATTGGGGAATTAGCTTCTTGGCTGGTTCAGGTCATTGGGGAAGTTTTTATCTATGTCTCCTATATTGCTATTGTGATGACTCTCTTTACAGTTTGTGTCATTTGTAATCTATGTTTCCCATTGATCTAATAAAATTCTATTGCGTTTTTATAAAAAGAAAAATTAAAAAGAAAAGAAAATGTGGAATTCTAAGCATAATTGAGGAGTTTTGAATCCAAATTAAGTCACGGTGGTGGGTTTTCTATTGAACTCTTCTAGACTTAAGAATTTTGAAGCCATGTTAGTCATCAGGACAGTCCGTCCGTAGTGAAATGGTTATCAAACTAACCATTAGTTAATATCTAGCTTCACTTTGATGCTCTCTTTGAGTGCCGCCAAAGTGCCAACTTGTTCCTTGAGTCTTTAGAAAGAGGGCGATCCTCAATCCTATTGATGATAGCCAAAGCTGCTCCCTTTATTTACAACCTATTTATACGGTTTGGTTACCAAATTGCTTAAACCCAGAAATTTCAAATTTTGCTGGTGTTGATGAGAGATGAGAAAAGAGAGAGAGAGAGAAGGAAGAGGGGTGGGTGGTAGGCTTTCAGGTCCCCTTCTATATTTGTAAAATTAATCCATCCCATCAATTTACTACTAACACCTAACAATGCTATGGTTTTTTTTGGGTATGTTATAAAGGGGTAGGGGTTTTCTCACACACACACACACACCGGTGCATGGGGTGTCACGCCCCGATGGCTTGGTCACGTGATAGTAGCACGTGCCTCAAGAATCCCAAGAATACAACACTCACCCCCCTGAGTGTCATACTCCCAAGTGTTCTCAAAATACGTTAAGCCCTTTTTGGTGATGGTACGATCAGAGTATTTCAATGACAGCGGAAATTTACAAACTAAAATATAACTACAAAATATTTACATAAGTACCAACCCCAACGGTTACAAGGGTTTGAGTATCCAAGTAACCAAGTTCCGAAGATACAAAATATGAGGAGTTCAAACTTAACCCTAGACAAAGAGTACAAGCCAAGAGTGTTTAAAGGGTACACAAAACCCAGTTACAACATATTTTACAAGATTACAAAAGATGAGTTTCTTGACCTGCAAATAACGTGTAGCACAGGAAGAAATGACAAGTTTCAGATGCCGAGCCACGAACCTAGTCAACGTCTAGGTTGTCGACCTGATCGTAATCTACACCAAAAGTAGTGGTAAGCATTACGTATGATCATTTACCCAGTAGGGGCACCCCAGCCATGTTTTAAAAAGTGATTAAGTTAATGTTATTCTTTTTAATATCGTACACCAAAGCATTAAAACCAATGCACATAAAAACAATTATCAGATTATCAGTTTGAAACACTTGGCATGCTCACACAGCTTTTCATAAACAATATTTTGGGATCCCAGTAACTTCATGTGATGATCGATCCATTAGGCCACTCTTACCACGCAGGGTAAAGTAGCGAGAGTGTCCATTTCAATGGCTACACCCTGTAGGCTATCCTAAGCTATTTAAGGGCCTTGGACTAGCCGGTCCCTGTAACCCCTCCAGAGGTTCAAGGTATCGAAACCTAAGGTCATTAGTACATGACCCTTCACTCTCAGGTCATCCTAGTCAGAACATCGTCAACACCAAAGGTCGGTGCCCAAAAGAATATCAACGCCATACATCAATGCCAATCACGAACTATGCAGTTTCATCACAGATCAATATTTAATATAGTAGTACAAGCACGAAAACACAAGACCGGGAGTGAGTCCCCCTACCTGGAGTCCACATCTTAGCCAACACAAGCACCTAGCTCAACCATCGTTATGTTCGCGTTCGGCTACTCGAGCTCCTAACTGAACAACAAGTAACAAGTTAAAACATGTCTTAGGGACAAACGTCACTAGTTAGGGTTATGTCCGTTTTCATTCCGTTAACCCTAGGTTGAGGCCGGAACCCAGAGTCGAAAACCCTAAGTCGTATAAACGTGCTTCCTACCCTAGAAATTGAATTAGGGTTAGGGTTTAAGGTCTCGAAATAGGTTCGAAATAAATTTGGACAAGGACCAAAAGTTAGGGTTTAGGTTCTGGACTTGGAAAACATTTTTCAAAAGTTCAAAATAATTTTTAAGTAATTAAAAGAAATTTCCAAAAGTTCAAGTAATTTCAAAATTATTAATTATTAATTTAAAAGTAATTTTTGAAAATAAATAAATGTTAATTTTTTAATACAAAACAATTTTAATAACAAATTAAACAAATTTAGTAATTTATTAAATTAATTAAATTAGTTAATTGGAACTAATTAAAGTAATTAAATAAGTCTAAACTATTATTTGGATACCAAATTAAACTAATTTAAACAAA